GTTAGGTTAGGTTAGGTTAGGTCAGGTCAGGCTAGCTGGCTTAGCTTAGCTTAGGTTCTGGTCTGTTCTCAATTAGGTTAGGTTAGGTTAGGTTAGGTTAGGTTAGGTTAGGTTAGGTTAGGTTAGGTTAGGTTAGGTTAGGTTAGGTTAGGTTAGGTTAGGTTAGGTTAGGTTAGGTTAGGATATGTTCTGGACTATTCTGGCCTGTGTGTTTCATAAATGTACCTAAACTCGATAAGAAGCGATTTTGGTCCTTTATTATTGTTTCCTTGGTCCCATACATGTTTTATGGTTCTTGATAAGCAGAAATATTGTGCTTTCGCAACAACGCAGAAACGGCGCCTGGAAGTCGAGGCAGTGCGGTGCGGGGCGTACGGCGCTCGGGAGCCCGCCATCGAAGTTATTGAAATTCAAAGGTAGGAGCATGATTCTACCTGTTTTGAGATTATTTATGATATGTGCTGCCTTGAACACGACGAATGGTGTGCAATGATTTTTTCTAACATTAGGTAGGAAAGTACACCTACACCTGGTTGACAGATCAGAAACTTGGAAAAAGGGTTAAGTGAAGTGACTAACATTGGCACCAGGTGTTTCATTGGGGTATATTCAGCACCACCCACTTTGAGCCCCTCCCGCCCATGCCCCCCCCCCCCCTTCCCTTAATGTGGAGAAGATAGTGGACCAAATATAAGGGTAAATGGTAAAACTTATGATGTATTTGAGGGATAGCTTTTATCATTTGTCCCTGCTCCAGCTTCCAACCTCCCCCCATCTTGTTTTGCAGCAAAACCATGCCTGTGGTAACTAATCACAATCACATTTCATGGAGCAATCATGTGCTCGCTATGAAAGGTTTCAGGATGGTTATGCAGGCAAACAAGAAACAATTGAAGGCAATGGATGGAATCCATATGCTGCCTCCTAATTGTGGCAGGTGTCATGCAAGTGCAGATTAAACTGATCAATGGTAGATTAAGTGAAAAATTGAATGGGAAAATAAACATACCTGGTTTTCTATCAGAAGTCATGTGGCTTAACAATGAAGTCTCACACATGTCCACACAAACATCTGAGGCCACCAACATGTACCATTTTCCTTTTGTTGCCATCTATTTATGCCATTCCCTGTATGGTCTTGCCACCTGACAAAGGGTGGCAGACATGAGTACATAGTGTGGTGTGGTTCAAGATTGGGCTGAGAGAGAAGTCTAGATTACAAACCCATTTCTTGTTGTAGCATTGACAGAAGACCAGAGAGCCCATTGGAGTGCCAGGTGCACAACAACATTCTCAATTTTCTGATGTGATGGCCTGTACACCATATCTGGAGATGGTCCTAGAAAGAGCCGATAGGCTTCTTGCAAACATTTGGCCTTGTGCCCCCTTCAGTGCTGCTCTGGGTGACTACTGAGGGTGGGAGTGGACAGCCTGTGAAGAAGGCTTGTGGCCAAAACATTTGCAAGCAATGTCCAGGCTCTCTCCTGAGCTACCCCATGATACAGTGTACAGGTCATCAAGCCAGAAGAACAGCATTCAAAGCACTCAGTTATCCAGGAAAGCTTGTCTCCATTGGACCATTGGGCCATGATTGTGCAGCTGGTCAGCAGTCACAATGGGTGGGCATTCTTTCTTGGGCAGCAGGTGACTAAAAGGGAGTGGTCTGTTTTGACCACTGCAGCTGGGAGTGGTCTGTTTTGTTGTTTTTGAGTTAATCCACTCTCACACTCTTTTATGTAGATCTACCAAGTGCTGTTCCTTGGCAGCATATAGTTAAAATGTATTTTGTTAAATGAATGTTAAAATGTTACTGAAATGAAAACAGGAGATGTGACAGATCTCCCTTCCCACAGTGTTTGCATGAAGACAGAGTGCATTTACTCACTTAACCTAACTTAACTGAACATTATCTATGCCTTACAACAGTCTTATACCGAATATTGTTTGTCAAGAAACTGAGTTAATCATAGCATTGTCAATGCAGGGCTTTCTTCATCATATTTTGTGATAGTTGAAAAGAAGTTAGGGAATATTATGGATCACAGGAAATGTTGAACTGTGTATGGTGTTTGTTTACTTGCATCTATGAAGTTAGATAATGTCCCTAAAATATGTGTGTAAATACCTGTATGCTGGGACAGGCAAGGTGCATCATCATGAGATATAACATCTGATGTTTTGCTAATTGTGATGATACAGAACCCTAACTAGGGTATAAAAAGGCAAATAAAAAGGCTCGCAGAATGATGTGAGGAAGGTGTATGTTTTCAAGTACAGAAGAAAGTAAAAAATTTGGAAAGGGCTGAAACTGGGAACCAATGGCGCGCGTGAAGCCCACTTTCCCCGTGGAGAAAAGGTGCATACAATGGCACACAAGAGTGGGCATGCTCCGGAATCGGAGAACAGATACACCCGGCCCTTCTCCGGGATGCGTATCCAAACAGCCTCTCGCCCAGCGTCACTGCCAGCGCAGACCTCAAGTTCAGGCGATTGGTAGAAC